CTCGCAGGGCACGAGTGCCCACTGTGCTCACAGGACATGTCCCAGCCCCGTGGAAGAGGAGGGAGTGGTACTGGTTCGCTCCTCAGCGGGCAATGGACTGATGTTTCTCTGTCGTGCATTAGTGAAGGTGACACTGGACCCAGAGACGGCAAGCCCGTACCTGATCCTATCGAAGGACCACAAAACCGTGCGGATGGGAGATGGGCAGCAAAAGCTCCCCGACACCCCCAAGAGATTCACGGGCAGCCCCAGCGTCCTGGGCTCCGAGGGGTTCACGGATGGGAGGCATTACTGGGAGCTGGAGGTAGGGGATGGGGACAGCTGGGCCGTGGGGGTGGCCGTGGAGTCCGTGCGGAGGAAGGACTCGCTCACCATGGCCATGGGGAAGATCTGGGCCCTGCGGCTGGACTGGAATCGCCAGTACACGGCGCTCCACATGCTCCCCGCCCCGCTGGAACTGGAGCAAGAGCTCCGGCGGATCAGGGTCCACCTGGACTACGAAGCGGGCCAAGTGACCTTCTACAATGTGGAGAACATGATGCAGATCTTGCAATTCAAGGCCTCCTTCACTGAGAAGGTCTTCCCATACTTTTGGCTCTGGTCACAAGAAACCTACATCCAGCTGTGTGCCTGACATGGTTGGATGCCTCCTGGTCCCCTGCCCATGCCTTTGGCTAGCTGAGCAGGCAAGAGGCGTGGGAATGATGCAGCATCGCGTTGCAAACTCACTGCAGCTCTGCCTGCGCTGGATCCCCTCTGCACATTGCTGCATCTCCTCCTGCCAAGTCCTTTGGAGCATTAAAGATGTGTTGTCCTGCCTGGGGGTGTCTGCATGCTGGTATCCTAGCCAGATCTCACAGTGACGGTGTCGCACCTGTCCCTGCGGGCACTGAGGACACACACAAATAAGCAGGAGAGAGGCTGGGAGGATGCTCTGATTGCCCATGCTGGTCTTTGGCAGCGCTGCATGACTTGCTTTGGCTCCGTGTGGTGTGCTGTGTTGTAGGCAGTATGGGGATGCAGCCACCCCACACCCAGGAACTCCCGGTGGAGCCACAGAGCTGCTAATAGTGGTGATAACTGCTCACTGTAAAGTCTGTAAAAAACTGATGCTTGAAAGGAAAACGTTCAGGGAGGGGACAGGGCTGATAGGAGAGCTGGAGTGAGAGCCCAAGCCTCTCCAGGCTGGAAGAGTGGCAGTGACAGGGGTGTGATGGGGATCTCTGAGGTCCTGGGTGGTCAGAGAGGGAGCAAATGCCATGTTGTCTAATCCAGGAACCAGGAGCATAGTGTGAATCTGGTGGGTGGCAGGGCCTAGGCAGAGGGACACGGGTCGCGTCCTGGGGGTGTAGGATCTCCTGACAAGGCCTTTACATCTCTGCGTCAGGCTGAGAACACTAGACCCAAGATCAGCCCTGCAGCCAGAGACAGCGGCCTCTGAAACCACCACAGGGAGATCTGGCAGAGCGCATCTGCCAGGGGCTCGGCTCAACAGCAGAGATCTGCAAACCCTTGTGTGAGGAGAGGATGCACGACCTGCTGGAGCAGCGCTGTGTGTCCCGAGCACCTCACTGTATCACCCTGTTTCTCCACCTGTAGAATAACACCGTGTGTTTTGAGGCTGGGACTGCTCCCCCCGCACTTGCAGCGTCCACAACTGGGCAGGCCTGGGGAACGACCCACGTAAGGAGTCCCCTCCTTTCCACAGCACCACCATTGCTGCCTCTGTCCTGCTCTGTGACCGTAGGCAGGGGACAGGGCAGGGAAAAGGCAAGGTGGGGCAACGGGTCCTCTGAAAGCTGGGCATGTGTCCATTTTTAAGGCAGATAGCAGCGCCTGGGTAAATACCACAGTCTCTTGCAGGTAGAGGACACGAGCAAGGTCTGGGGAAGTTATGTGGAGCGGCCCGACTGCGCCTGCTTTCTGCACCACCCCGCACGCTGACACGAGCATGCGGTGCATTCAAGTCTCTCTTCTCCCGCTCCAATTTCACAAGTGCCGTCGCTCCACGAACCCTGTCTCAGTGCTGCAGGGACGCACGCTGGCTTCTTATTTTCACGCTGCCGCCCACCGAACACCTCCCAAAAGCAGCCGCCACTTCCCCGGTGATGCTGCTCCTGTATTGTTCTCGCAAAGATCTCGTTGGAGGAGAAATGACGTGGGAAGGGCTCCTCGGCTCACCGAGGTCCGGTTACCTGCTGAGTTTGTGCCCTTTTTCCCTCACCGTTCCCAATTGCACCCGCTTCCACTCAGGCCCGGGGGGGGGGTGTGGAGGCACGGCTGAAGGGAGACAGCCGGAGATGTGGCGGCAAGGCAGGCGCCCCACGGAAGCGCGGACTACATTTCCCAGCATGCAACGCCGAGGGACCGCGTTGCCCTCCTCGGCGTTGCATGCTGGGAAAAGTAGTCCCCCTTTGGCACGCAGCCATGCTCCTTGAGGCGCCCTATTGGCTGGCTTCTCTATTGGGCAGGAGCGACGAGAAGCAACAGTGGGGGGGGGGGAGCGAGGCGCCCGCCGCCGTTCTTACTGGTCAGAACGAGCGCGTTGGGCGGGGAGATTTGAGAAAAAACACCCGCCCCCTTTAAACGTCGCTCGGAGGAGGGTTTTGATTGGTGGAGAGGAAGTTTGGCGCCAGCTTCGGAGCGGGCGACGGGTAGCGGCTGGGGTCAAAGCGGTGCGGGCCGCGCTGACAGGAGGACGGGAGGCTTTCAGCTCGGCTCGGCTCCATGGATCTC